CAAAAAATGTTAATTCAAACAATCAAATATTGATTGGCGTAAGTGAGAATGCATAAATTTTTTTTAATTTACCAAATAAATGTTAATTCAAATAATTAAATGTTGATTTAGTAAGTGAAAAAAAAAGTTTTATGCGTTACTATTTCAAACTTTACAAAGATCTGAAACACCTGACGTATAAATACTTTTTTTTATACATTATATTAAGTTAGGAAAAAGAATATGTATTCATCACAAAATTATGGTTATCACGTGATCAGATATTAAAAAATATTAGGAATCATCATAAACAAGCATTAATAGATAAAAATTATTTTTGCTATAAAAAAAATAAAAATAAAAATTTTTAAATATACTTTCTTAAAAAAATTAAAATTTAATATTTTAATTATGTGTGTAATAAATATAATTTTTAAAAAAGAGAACTTTGGTTGTGTAACAATATCTTAGAAGTTGATTTTGCTGGCAACGGATAAAATAAATGCTGTATAAAATTTGGTTGTTATAATAATATCTTGGAGGTTGATTTTGCTGGCAACGGATAAAATAAATGCTGTATAAAATTTGGTTGTATAACAATATTTCAGAGGTTGATTTTTTATAAAAAATTAAAAAAATAAAATAAAATATCAAACAAGATATTAACAAGAAATCAACAAGAAATCAAACAAGTCAATTTTAAAAATAGTAGCAAATTTAATCATCAATAATTGGTTTAAAAATCAGGGGTAAATTTTGATTGCTTTTTATCAAAAATTATAAAATTATCTCAGACCTTGATTTTGCTAGCGATAAACCTATATATTAATTTTTTAATTTTAATTTTAAAAATAATTTATTATCTAATAATTACAAAAATATATAAAATTTAATTTATTAAATTGCATTATATTAAATAGTAATATTTTTATATTTCTAAAAATTGATAAATAACAAAATATATAAGTTTAAAATTTTTAATTTTTTTTATAATAATTTATTATTTATTTATCTTTAAAAATTATTAGTTAATTATATATTTTTTCTTAAATTTTTACTTAGAAAACATTATAAAATTTATTATAAAAATATTATTTTTTAATAATATATTTTAAATATTTAAAAATAATTAAAAATAATTGTAATTAATAAATAAATTGTTTGCAAATTTGTAGACAAAACAATTGAAGTGATAATATTAAATTTAAAGATATTTACAAATAATAAAATTTAAAATAGAGTAATTTATGTAATATAAAATTTGATTTGTTGATCAGATAAGTAAAATAATAATATAATTATATTTTTAAATAAATAAATAATATATTATTTTTTACTTTTTTAATTAATTTAAGTAAATGTTTAATAATAATTGTAATTTATCAAATCTAATAGAATAATTTAATAAAATAATTTTTAAAAGTTTAATTTTATTATAACTTTTTAATTTTTTTTATTATCTTAGTTAAAATATATTAAATAACTAGAAAATGGAAACTATTGTAAGTTCAGAGCGAAATATTCATACCACTATATTTATCAAATTTTACTAACTATTTTTTGTTAAGATTTATGAGTTTTAGATTAGAAATATAAATAAAATTAAATGTAATAATAATTGAATGTACATACAGCAATAATAGAAATAAACCTGCAGACTGAAACTAGGCTAGTCAATAGTTCCATAGGAACTATCAGGACATAATATTCAAAGAAGATTAAGGATTGCTTTCTCTTCCTATAACAGTCCTGATCTCTTTTGACAATTACAATGGTCCCACTATTGTTAGCTTA